ATCTCAACTCACTTCAACCTCCGCCCCTGGGTTCAAGCGATTCTTGTGCCTCAGCCTCCTGAATAGCTGGGACTGCAGGTACATGCCACCATGCCCAGCTAATTTTTGTACTTTCAGTAGAGATGGGATTTCACCATGTTGTCCAAGCTGGTCTGAAACTCCTGACCTCAGGTGATCCACCCGGCCCCGCTTCGCAAAGCGTTGGGATTACAGGTGTGAGCCACTGCGCCTGGCCAAGGCTGGGATTTACACCCAAGTTCCTCACAACTCCCATCAAAGTCCTGGCCCCACTGTAAGGAATGTGATAGCTGGGCCACGTGGTGAAAGGGCAGGGGGCTCCTGACATTGCCCCCACCACCTGGGAGCTCTGCATGTTTCTGAGAGGCCTGAGTGCAGCCTCTGCCCTACAGGGCAGAACCCAGTGTTGGAGTCCCAAGGCAATGTGGTTTGAGGCAAGCTGGGACTCTGATTTTGGAGACAGACCTGGTTTCTGGTTGTCAGTCTTTTCCTGGGAGTGGTATAATCGCCTTCTAAGTGACTCTCCTGGCCCACATTGCCTGGCCCATCTGCCACCCAGCTGACTCCCGCTCCACAGAGGTGGCTGTGTCAGAAGTCTGGTGTGGACTCTGCCATCGTCCCCCCACATGCTCTGGGCTCCCCACCTCTGTGTCTCAGCTCAAAGGCTTCCTTCTCCCCTAGAGGGGCCCCATCCCTTCCTCCCCTGGGGGCTCCTGTAGGACTGCACTCAAATGCCCGCTATGGACAGAGACCGGCGGTGGCAGTGCACGTGGAGGGCATTCTTCCCTTCACTTCTTCCACTTCCACAGCAGCCAGCGTTCCCAGAAAGCATGTCCTTGGCAGCGTCCAGGAGACCAGATGGCCTCCTCTGGGAAGCCTTTTCTGGTGGCTGCCGTCACTTCTGCAGGTGGATTCGAGGCTCCCTCTGTGGGCTGCATTGAACTGATCTCCGCTTCTGTCCTAGGGTACCACACAGCACTCGGGACACTTGGTTACTTGAGTGTCCACCCTGCTGTGAACTTCCTCAGATACCGGGTTTTGTCACCTTTATTCCTCAGCCACTGGCACAGCCCAGGCCCAAGGCATGCAACCAGTCACCGTCCATTGTTCTCATTGCTGTGGCTTATCAGCCTCTTTGATAAAAGTTTTGGTGACAGAAGAAACCAAAATCCACATCACCCGGGCCGGGCACAGTGGCTCACGCTTGTAATCCCAGCACTTTGGGAGGCCGAGGTGGGTGGATCACCTGAGGTCAGGAGTTTAAGACCAGCCTGACCAACATGGTGAAATCCTGTCTCTACTAAAAATACAAAATTAGCCGGGTGTGGTGGCACATGCCTATAATCCCAGCTACTCAGGAGGCTGAGGTAGGAGAATCACTTGAACCTGGAAGGCGGAGGTTGCAGGGAGCTGAGATTGCACCATTGTACTCCAACCTGGGCAACAAGAGCAAAACTCCGTCTCAAAAAAAAAAAAAAAAAGCAAAAAATTAGCCCAGCATGGTGATGTGTGTCTGTAATCCCAGCTTCTCGGGAGGCTGAAATGGGAGAATCACTTGAGCCTGTGAGGTTGAAGCTGCAGTGAGCCGTGATTGCGCCATTGCACTCCAGCCTGGGTGACAGAGCGAGACCCTGTCTGAAAAACAAATAAATAAATCCTACAGTGACGTCTGTAGTTCCAGCTACTCGGGAGGCTGAGGCAGGAGAATCGCTTGAACCCGGGAGGTGGAAGTTGGGGTGAGCTGAGATTGCGCCACTGAACTCCAGCCTGAGTAACAAGAGCGAAACTCCATCTCAAAACAAAACCAAAAAACAAATTCACATCACCCGAGATGAGGTCTTTGACTGCCACTGTATTTGAGGGATCACAGTCACTAAGTCATGCACGTGCCAGCCATTCACATCCATGACCACAACTAATCTCTACTTCCCAGTGGAGGCTGAGCTCTGAGGATCCTGGGGAACTAAGACCGTGTCTGCCTTTCAGCTCCTTCTGCACAGAGTTCATGGTAGGCCTGGTAAAGTGGCTGGAGTTGTCCGAAGCCGTCTTGCCAACCATGACTGCTTTTGCGAGCGGCCTGGGAGGTGAAGGAGCAGATGTGTTTGTTCAGATTTTACTGAAGGACCCCATCTTGAAGGACGACCCGACGGTGATCATTCAGGTACACCCAACACCTGGTAGTGGCTGCTGGGGACAGTAGAACAAATCATTTTCTTTCAATGTTAGCCTAAAAAAATCACTTCTAGTGGGGTGGAGCAGTTGGAAGATAAAATGTGTCATCGTAATATCATATCATGATCATAGCTGATGTTGAATTATCATTATTGAATATTTACTCTTGACTTTATGCTAATACAATGCTTATAATATGCTGGAACCTTTTCAAAAACTAACTCATCTAATTCTCAAAGTGACTTTATGAGGTAAGTAGCAGGGCCATCCCCATTTCATAGTAGTTGAGAAAACTGAGACACAGAGAGGTTAAGTAACTTGCCCAAGGTCACACAGCTGATAAGTGGTGGAGCCAGGATTTGAACCTTGGTAGTCTGACTCAGAGCCCCCATTCTCCTAAGCCGTGGTGCCTCTTTTCAGAAGCAGAAGCTTCACTGTGTGCCCTTGAGCATGTCACTCACCAGCTCTGCCTGCAGTTAAAGCAGATAGAAGCTTGTGACACAGACTGTGGGTGGGGAAAGTATGTGGATTTGAAATAGCCCCTTCCCCTCCTTATCTCACTACCTGAAGTCCTCATGTGTTTCTTTCTTTGCTTGCCTGCTTATCGTCTGGCTCACCTCTGGAATCCAGGGCAGTGGCTTTTTGTCTGTCTTGTTCTGCCACTTGGTAAGAGTCAATATTTGTCAAATGAGTGGGCTGTTCGTATATCAGCTTTGTCACTGATGCCTGTTGTCTTCTCCCTCAGGACCTTCTGAGCGTCTCACTCAAGGATGGTAAGTTGATTTTCTAAGCTTTGTAAATGGTGGGTACCCATCTTCACACTTGGCTAGCAAAGCCAGTCAGAGGTGCTGCCACCTGGGGCCGGGTCCCCCATGGCCTTTTGACTTCAGGAAGGAAAGGAACCTGATGTCATTGGTGAGCTGGTGAGCCCTTCATTCATGCCAGGACCGCGTGATGCTTCTCAGAGTTTATTTCACTTATTCCTCGCAATAGGCCCGTGGTTTTACCTCCTCAGTAACTCTCGAATCTGGCTCCTTCCCCTCTCCAACCAGGCCGCTGGTCTGAGCCACTGTCGCCCCTCCTGGATAACAGCAGGGCCTTCTCACTGGCCTTCCTACCACGCCTCTGGCCAGCAGTTTTCTCCCCACTCGGCAGCTAGAGAGTCTTTTCAAAGGCGCACATGACCACACCACCTCCCTGCTAACTGCACTCAGGAGAAAAAATCAGCCCCTCTGGTGTGGCTCTCAGGCCCTAGTGGGCTGGCCCTTGTCCTGCTCCAGCCTCACTTCTGCTTTCAGTCCCCCTGCAGTGGGGCTCCTGCCATACCGGCCTCCGGCAGCTCCCTGAGCACGTGTGCTTTGTGGCTTTGCACAGACCCCTGAGCGCATGTGCTTTGCGGCTTTGCACGCACCCCTGGGCATGTGTGCTTTGCAGCTTTGCATGCACCCCTGGTCACGTGTGCTTTGTGTACAGCAGCATCTTTGCACATACCCTTCCTCTGGCTGGAAATATCCTCTTGCCACTCTTTGCCTACTCACTTTTGACCTTTCCTTCGTCCCTTCGCTCAGTCATCACCTCCCAGCGGAAGCCTTCCAGGTCTCCTGACTTGCACGCTCCCAGCACCCCATGGACCATGGTCACAGCTGTGCCCCTAGTTACGTGATTCTTGGATTGGTAACTGGCTTCCCACGAGACCACAAGGCACCATTTGGGCAGGGTCTGTGTCTGGTTTTGTTCACTTCCCGGGCCTGACCCAGCACCTGGCACATCACACACACTTGGTAAATATCTGTTGAATGAATAAATGAAATAGATCTTATGGCCCCATCGTATGGATCAGGAAGTCAGTTCAGAGAGGTTAGGCAGTTTACCCAAGGTTGCTCAGCACACGGCAGTGCGGGGCTCCCTGTGTTGGCTTCTTAGGACTGCTGTGACAAATTCCCACAAACCGGGCAGCTTAAAGCAACAGGAATCTCTTGCCTCACAGTGGCTCAGACCAGCGGCCTGGGTGGAGAGGGGAAGGAGCCAGATGCGAGAGTTACTGAGGAGGTAAAACCGCGGGCCTATTGCGAGGAATAAGTGAAATAAACTCTGAGAAGCATCAGTGGTCCTGGCATGAATGAAGGGCTCACCAGCTCACCAATGACATCAGGTTCCTTTCCTTCCTGAAGTCAAAAGGCCATGGGGGACCCGGCCCCAGGTGGCAGCACCTCTCACTGGCTTCACTAGCCAAGGAGTCTGGAACGAAGGCATCAGCGGATCACACCCCCTCTGAAGGCTGCTGGGGAGAATCCACTGTGCCTCTTCCAGTTTCTGTTGACTCCAGGTGTGCCTTGGCTTGTGGCCGCCTCACTTCAGTCTTTGCCTTCTTCTTCCTGTGGCCTCTCGTCCTCCCCTGTTCCTCTCCTCTGTGTGTCTTTTATGAGGACTCTTGTGTAGGGTAATCTCATTTCAGGATTTTTAACTTAATTATATCTGCAAAGACTCTTTTTCCAAATAAGGTCACATACATAGATTCTGGGACACAGATGTATCTTTTTTGTGGTAGTGGTGGGGGGGTGCGGTGCACTCTTCAGCCCTCTATACCAGGATTCCCCAAGCCCCCAGGCCACGGACTGGTACCAGTTCATGACCTGTTAGAAACTGGGCCACAAAGCAGGAAGTGAGCGGTGGGCAAGCGAATGAAGCTTCATCTGTATTTTCAGCCGCTCCCCATTGCTCACATGACTGCCTAAGCTCCGCCTCCTCTCAGATCAGCAGTGGCATCAGATTCTCGCAGGAACGCGAACTCCTGTGAACTGCGCACGCAAGGGATCTAGGTTGCGTGCTCCTTATGAGAGTCTAATACCTTATGATCGGTCACTGTCTCCCATCACCCTCAGATAGGACCGTCCAGTTCAGGAAAATAAGCTCAGGGCTCCCACTGATTCTATATTTTGGTGAGTTGTATAATTATTTCATTATATATTACAGTGTAATAATAATATAAATAAAGTGCACGATAGGCCGGGCGCGGTGGCTCATGCCTGTAATCCCAGCACTTTGAGAGGCCGAGGTGGGCAGATCACAAGGTCTGGAGATCGAGACCATCCTGGCTAACACGGTGAAACCCCGTCTCTACTAAAAATACAAAAAATTAGCCAGGCTTGGTGGCAGGCACCTGTAGTCCCAGCTACTCGGGAGGCTGAGGCAGGAGAATAGCATGAACCCAGGAGGCGGAACTTGCAGTGAGCTGAGATTGCGCCACTGCACTCCAGCCTGGGTGACAGAGCAAGACTCCGTCTCAAA